CTGAAATCACAATTGATTGTAATAAAAATTAAATTTTGTTTGTTTTTGATGTTTCGACTTACACCCAGGAAATCGTTTTCAAAACAGATTATTTTAAAAAATAAGAAATTATATTAACCTGTAGATGTTGATTAATAGGTTCAATTTTCGGATTGGCAATCCAAAAGTCGAAATAAACATAAAAAGTAATTTTCATTACAACTAATACTTGTGGTTTGATCCCATATAAATACAATATTTAACAACAGGCCACAAGAAAACAGTTTCAGAACCTATTCTGTAGTAGTACTTATGGAAAATCCTGATCAGCATCAGATTGGTATATTACCAACACAGTTACCTCAGTCATATAGCTGTATCCAGCTGATTTACAGTAACTTTTAACAGACATGAGACAGCCATATTGCAACTTTATCAGTAACGCAGATCCAATATTTACTGTCTATAAAAAATTAAGTCAAATTTGGTGTGACGAAAATAATTTTCTTATTACTAGATACCTACAATTTCAAATCTTAATTTGACCTGTATGTGTATATCTGGGATATATGCTACAGCTTCTATGACCAGAAACGGATTATATTAGATATTATATATCTAGGTTTGTACGCATTAAGGCACATTGCCTTGCAATATACATTATAACAATATTTTACTGAAACAACAAATCACTGCAAACGTAATCTGTCAAAATGTATTGTCTTCCAAACACCATTTAGCTGTCTAGTATAATACTACAACATATCACAAAATCTTTTCATGTCTTACTGTTGATTAAAAATTTTTTACCAAACTGAATCTGGGCAAATTGATCTACATTTGTGCTTATTAAACTGCATATTTGCGATCGCATCAGCCTAGAAACAGTAGGTCAATATTATGATCAAGTTAAAATTTCGAAAATAAAAATTTCCATATTATATGAAAATTTGTTTTCCAAGATAGAAAATTATGAAGAATCAATGTGATTCAGTCTTTATGTCCCCATAAACAGTACTCTCGATAAAAAAACAAACATATTAAACTAAATGGAACATAAAATATTGAAAACTGATAAAATTTTGTGAAGGAATATATTTTGTCGTTTGCAACTTTTATACCAAGTTACTTCAGGAATTATTTTAAAATTGTTAAATTCTGTTAAAATAATTAACTAAAATAATATAAAAATAAAATCTGTTCAAGATTCCAAAAATTTTATATGTTCAAAAATAATGTTGGTGGCAGTATTCTGCCATACATACCAATTACAAATGAAAATAATTTTTAAATTAATTATAATGCAATACTTTAGTTTGGCACATTCGGGATATTTTTTATACTTAATTTCTTCTTTAAGGTCTTTTTCATCATCGTCATCATGCTATTTATAACAGACCCCGAAGACACCAAATGCAATGGTAAGAAATGCGCTGGCAAATGCAGTAGTATGCACACCAAAAGTAAAGAAAAGACCTTAAAGATGGCTTTTTCATGCTTTCAACTTGCCATTTCATGCTCTGCCCATCCAAGTTGCTACAACGCTTATTTCCCAAAATGTGCTCAATGGTTTTCCATATGATTTTGAGCTACATTTAATTTTATATCAATTATTTTATTTTAATATAGTTTTATGCTTTTGCATTCTAGACAATTCTCAAATATATCGGCACGAAATTATACTAAATACACTGGTTGCAATCTTGCTTCGTATTTAACGAAAGGTGTGAACAAGTATGTCCCGAAAGTAGATGATCTTTGATATCTTTGCGCCAAAAGGTTCCAGTGTCCCCACTGTGGTAATCAGTAAATCTGCACGACCTTGTATAACGAAATTATAATACTAACAGAAAGGTCCACTTCATAATAGAATATTTTATAACACTGTTCAAACAATGCAAAAATCTTATGGAGCTGAATATAGGAGCAACACAAGATCGGAAAATATCGAATATGCGAGACTTACGATTTCCAAAATAGTTACGGCACAGCAGAAAAAGGTTCGTTTAGAAGTCGTTCTAACAACTTTCATTTTCATTAATAATAATGCTTTAAAAGGTCATTAGCAATAACATGGTCCTGTATCATAATGGGAACTTCATCCGAAAGACCATGTTTCTTTTATGATAAAGGTGCATTATGAATACGTTAAGACCTCTCACAACGGACAAAGAATTTTTTGTTGTGGTTCTAAAAAGATTGTATGACACAGTTACAAGAAAACTGTCCCATTTTTGGGTAAGCGGCGAGTGGTGTTTTTTAAATTCAAAACTGTTTCAGTAACTTAAAGCATCGATTGGAGAACGCTGGCTGTTCGGATGAGAATCGCTCCAAAGGATGGCGGAGACTGGATAACGATAAATGAAGCATTGTAAAATTATGAAACAATGTCGGATACTTTTGGAAAAACCTGGAAAAAGATTCAGACTGTCCAAAAACATTAAATTGTAGCATTCAAAAAGGAACATGTGCAACATTTCAGGTGTGAATTAGAAATATTTATTCAGAGCACTTGGCACTAAGATAATCAAAAATTATAGATAAAAAGAAAATGTTTTAAAATAAACCCCAATTAATTTGTACTATTTAGGGAGATCTAGAGGTTACATACAAAAAAGTTTGTATATTGGTATTTAAACTTTAAACTTAAACTATTGGCATTTACAATTACTTTAAAATACATATTGACTCGTGCCTATAGTCTTATAATAATACCGTTGAGTAACAAAAGTCATTTATATTGACCAATTTTTCAGTTCACTTTTTAAAAATACTCAACTTAATAGGGTTGTTTTATTTATGAAGTAATGTACTGTCTATGTACTTGTCTTTATTATGGAAGTTTCTATGTATTCGAGTATTTACAAAAAATGTAAGTACCAGCATTGTTTCAGTAAAATGTATAAGTTTATATAAGTTAGGGATATGTCAAATTGATAAGAAAACTTATTAAAGATAAGCTTACAGCATTAGAATAAATATAAGATTCACAATGGCGAAGTAAAATAGATTTAAAAACTATTATTGTTTCTCATTGTCCCAACACCTAAACTAAATATTTGATAAAATCAACTATGAGCCCTAAAAACAATATTCGGACGATGTACGACATGCGGAACAGATATATTTCATGTTTAACAATGTATCAAAATTTTATTGAAGCATAGGTGAGTCAGGAAAATCATTCAAATAAAACTAAAATCTAAAATAAGTTACTGTAAAACTACGCTCACAATATATGCCATGGTTAGAAAATAGGTTTGTAACAATAATGATGGATGTAAGGGCTCGTAAATTTAAAATCATGATATTAAGCGATTCAAACGTCAACTCCACCTGCACAAGTTGTAGATAAGATTCAACTCTGCACCCTCAATAAAAAATTAAGGAACTGTAGTTCCCAATAATTTTCTTAACTATCTGACCAGAGTGAAATATAATGTCTAACAAACTTCCTTTAGCGTGCATTCACAACGAGGCCCCTCGTCGGCGCCTCGTGCATTATAAAATAAATGCATTATTTTAAATGCGAGCATTCACTGTCAGTGCTATGCTCTAGGCGAGGATACCATGCGTTGGTCTTCGTAATGAACGCACCATTAGAAGGGAAGGTTATGTCCAAAAAAAAGACAATAGGAGACAAAGTTTGGTATTTTATCAACTGTTTTACACAACGAAAGCAAAAGTGTAAAAGTAGTGGGGAGGACAACAATGGTCCGAGTTTTAAGGTCACTGAAACCTATGACATAAGGTGAAAAACGCTGTGTATTCATGATACAATTCTGACATAAAAAAAATCAACTAAATTTGGCACTCGTTCAATTTGCAATTTTTAACAAGGCTACCAAACAACTTCAAATGCGGATATGACAGTTGTTATAGCTGAAAGCATTGACTTAAAGAAATCGTGAATGCTATAAGGGAAAGCGACAAAAAATAAACATTAATACAATTAATGGTCCTCGCATGCAATCTAAATCAGCTGAGTAGAATACTAATCTACAATATACAACAAGCAGAGTTCGTATCCAAGATTTAGTACAGTCGCTTCTGGATAACAAAAAATCTTGACACTTCAATGTTGAAATATGAGCGCGCATATAGAATGTCACCTCAGTCTTTCACCTAATGAAAAAAACTCAAATTACACCTTAAAGGAGAGAAAAAGGAATTCTGGAAAAGAAAAAAATGTGGCTAACAAAATATAAGAAATTGGACGGGTACGAATACACCTTCAATAATAAGAACCTCAAAAGATACAGATGAATTTGCGGTAATGATAGGCAACCTTCAGTAATGGAGATAGCACCTAAAGAAAAAGTAGAACAACATAACCATTATTCCAGCAAAAATAATGTTATCTCGTGTTAATATTTAATCTACTTCATATAATTTAAGTAGGCATATAGATTTATAAATAAAAAATTTATAAAAGACAAAGTTTAAAATAAATTTTGTAATGTTTTTTTAACATTTTTTCTTCTGTTTTTTCTTGGGCTATGTCAGACAATTCACCCATTTTTTAACATTTCGAATACCGTCCGAAACGAAAGTTGTTAGGACTGGTACATTATACATTTATTATATATTTGTGTATGCCTGTGGCCATTTTATATATCTATATATAAAATATAATATATTGTCTACTTTGTGCAGTCAATAGTTTAAAATTATTCTCTATATAAACATCTCTACAATTGTTACTTAAAAAAAAGTTTGTTATAAACAAGTTTTACTAAATAAACATTATTCTAAAAGTATTTGCAAAACCCCTAAAACTATCCAACCTGAAAAAAAAACTAAAAATCTTGTAACAAACTAGTACGTTATTGTTGAAAATTATTTTGGATTAATCACTGCTTAGCAGTTGGAAAAATAATAATTAAAAGAACCTTTTAGGTTATTTTTAACCATAACAGGTTAATCACATGTTTTAAAAATTGTACTTTGTCTGATTAAATAAAATTCCTCAACTTTCTCAAAGAAGCACCAAGTACGAAATCAATTCTTCTGTTATTCGCTTACAAGGCGGGAAAAAAGCCCATGGGGGGAAAAACTACATCTTTGGGCATGAAGCAGTCGTGGACTGTTTTCATGTGATTCTTCATTTTATCAGGCCTCGAGAATTCTTTCTGGCATACGGGACATGGAAACACTTTTCTTTGGTGTCCTTCATGATATAAGAAAGCATGTCGTTGAAAACTGTACTTATTCTTAAACGTTTTTTGAACATCGACTTTTGCACACTCTGTGCATTGATACACTCCTTCGTTTATTGAAGCGTATCTGAACAAATTCAATCCTCTTACCGACATTTCCGTAAGTGCTTCTGCGGGATCTTGGCTCTGAGATGTCGCTCTACGCCTGACTCTGCGCTTTGTCGGTTGTCTACCTGTTGAAGGTGCGCTCATGGCGTTCGGGAAATTCTGTGGTAGATTCGACATATTTGGTATCGGTGTTACTGCACTAGTTGAAGGTGTCATGATATTGTTATTATTTATAATATTGTCTGGAGTGCTAATACGGGAGGACGCAGGAGTTGCTGGGCGCTGATTTGATTGTTCTGAATTTGAACTTTCTGCATTATCTGCCAACTCTGTTTTCGGTATCAGTAATTTTTGGGACAGCAATTCTAAAAATAAAATATATCTCATTATAACCCAAAAAAATCAAAATATGATAATAAAAATAAAAAAAGGCTTTGGTCAATGTTTATTTAAATTATATGTGTTATCTAGAATTAACATTTTGTTACCTTTCAGGTGTTTACATGGCCATTAAGTCGCCTAGTAGAAAATTATTTAGTACGATTACAGTTTTATTTCTTCGTGAAATTGTTCAATCATATTAGATTCGACACAATCACGAAGGAAAAAGTAACTGAGAAATAAAAACAACCTAAAGGGGATATAAACTTTCATGTCACGAACCACATCAAACAACAGAGAGTATATACACAAAATGATGTAATCATAGTCATAATAAGGTGTAGTTAAGAGATGGAAATACTGTAGTTATGAAATAAAATAAAAGATCTAGAATAATATGTATAAAAAGATGATCATATCAAATTAAAACCAACTAATTCATTTCCTACAGTTGAAAACCTAACACATAGAACATTTTGGGTTAAAAATATCACTTTAAACTTTATTTGGTGTTTAGAGAATAAAAAATCACTTCCAAGTTACCATTTTATAGATATTCAGATTACTATATTAATTTTTTAAGGGTAAAGTGCACTACTAATGTAGAACTGAATAACAAACTATTTGAAGATAAAATACCTAAATTTAATATTTCTCATCAAAAAATGATAACATTTTTGAAAATGGCATTTGAAAGTAAAAACATCTAGCAGCTTACATGTAAAGGAAAGAATGAAGAAACCAAAATCAATCCCAAGATATCGTAAAAAAAACTATAAACAAACACACTATACGGAAATAAGGAGTAAAATCGTTCTACATATTATATATAGTACTATTATGTAGTATGGTAATAACGAAATTTACGACTATGGATAAACTTGTGTGTACAGTGAAACAAAATATTTCTGAAATAAGAAGAGCTTTGTGAAATTTTGCAGATATGAAATTTTAGGTAAAAAAAAAACAACATTAAAGGTGACGAACATAGGTTATAAAGTTGTTAAGCTGTGACAGGATAAAAAAAGGAAAATTTAACTATTGCCCTTATCATTGGCACATATTTCAACCAATTCTGTAATTGCTTTGAGCAATACAATACCACAATTCAAGAAAATCTGAAAAATGGCAACAATTGCCTTGAACTAAGTACAAATAATTTAGTGACTTTTGGAAAAAGAAATACTGTTTGAATACGACTGGGAAATATGTTGGTTCGGAAAAAATGAATTAATAGAATGGAACCTAGCAAATTGTAAGGACAATTTGGAATAAAATAATGAGAATATACTATGATGATTATCGAGACATATCAGGCTTTAATGACAAACAAACTAATTGTAGAAAGAGTGTCATTATATTTACTAATTAATTAATCAAAAAACTACAGCATCTGCAGATTGAAAGATTAGACTTATTGTGTATTACAACTATAAAACTACCAACAATGTTGACGTTTATAAAATAATATTATTTTATACATATATGGAAAATACTGATTATGTAATTATGTCATATAAACATTGACCCCTATCAAATAAAAATAGCATGCAGATGTACCGCTTGAAAAAAAAAATAAAACAATTAAAAAATAGCAAACTTAAATTTTATTTATAAATCAACTAAAAAAATACAATCTACGTAGTAAACCCCTAGAATAATATACAAGGTAACTAAAGAAGTGCAAATAAATATCTACTAACTAAAACATAAGTTTAAAAATAAAATACTAATATATCAATGAAATAAAATTGCATCAATTACCTTAAAGAGTACGCATCAGTTCAGCTTTAAAATAAAATCATTTTTTATTTAATAAACTAATAAAGGCAAGAATATTACCACTAGATAAAACAGGAAACTAATGTCAGTTCTTTTATTCAATATATAAACACAGTTCAGTACATAAAAATTCAAAAGTAAGTCACAGTGAATCAGTAGTAACGTTTGCCAAATTTGACTGGTTAATAAGTAATTATCAATATAGTTGAATAGGTCATTTTAAAAACCACATATATCCACATTTTATCAAAAATAACTTTTCAACCTTATCATGTAGTTTGTACCAGTCTCTATCATTTCGTGAACAAATCACACTAATCCCATCCTTAGTTAGTGATATAAGCATTTCAAAAATATTAAGTTCATTTGAAAACCACATATATCGGGGATATATGTTGTTTTTTAAATGACTTATTAGGAAGCGCGCTCATCGTAATGTTGACATTACTATTTAAAAGCAACAATAATTCTGTGAAAATGGATACCGACGTACGTGAATTAAAAGAAAGACGTAAAAAGGGTGGAAAAAATGTTACCTTCAAGTGTGAAATAGTTAAAAAAAGCTCGGGTGCAAGGTATAGAGTATATAAATTATAAAGGAAATAGGGTTCCCAAAATTGAACAAGGCAAAATTTGCAAGTAGGTATTTCTTATTTCATAACCTCAAACAGTCGGTTATAAAATGTTACTTTTAGATGCAGGAAGAAGTGTATTGCTCAACTCTCAGATGAAATAAAGTTAGAAGTGTATGCAAAATTTAGACGATTTACCACGAAAGATGAACAAGATATGTATTTACAAAATCTTATTACATCTAGGACTCTTGTTCGTACGCGTCCAGTAAAGGGAGAAAATGTAAACAGAAAACCTCCTGCTCCTCATAATAAACATTTTCAATATTGTTTTCTTCTGGCAGAAAATATGTGTGTAAAGAAGCTTTTGTGAAATTACACGGAATATCAGAAAACAGAGTACGTCGTATTTGTAACTTATTAGTTATTGATAAATCGCCAAAAGATTTACGTGGCAAAAGAACGTCAGCTATTGCCAAGCCTGTTTCTACTATTATAAAAATTCGAGAACACATCGAGTCTTTTCGCAGAAAAAAAGGAATTATACCAGTGGAGAATATGAATATTTAAATGAAAAATTAAATGTGAAAATCATGCATGAAATGTTTGTGGCGCTACATCCTCACTTGACAGTTAAATATAAATTTTACTTAAAACGTGTAGCTATAGCAGAAAAAAATGGTCCATTTGCGTAGAGCAAAAAAATTTTATAATAAAATGAAAGAAATCACAGAACTATGTCAAAATGATCGTTCTTTTGGAGGTATTTGTGTAGATTATATGCAAAACCTGATGCTCCCGTGCATTCCAGTACAGGAAACTTTTTACCTGCAACAATTAACTATCAACGTATTTAATATACATGATATGAAAACTGGAAAATCATTCTTGTACCTATGTATATCATGAAGTGGTAAGAAGGAATTGTCCAAATGCGGTTTGTTCTTTTATTGTTGACTTCATTATGAAACAGAAAATTCTATCTGCAGAGGTAAAACATCTTCATATTTTTATGGATGGATGTCCGGGTCAAAACAAGAAACACACTATGGTAAGAATGTGTTCTGCTTTTGTTCAACTTAGTATATTTCACACCGTGGATCAATACTTTCCTGTTCGAGGACATTCATATGTCATGTGACCGCGATTTGGCTGTTAAGTGAAAATTAAAGAAATTGTACCGAATTTAAACACCATTTCAGTATGTGGAACTAATATTGTCATCGAGTCAGAAAAATAATTTTACCGTATTTTTGATTGAAAATAACAGCCCCATGAAGGATTTTAAACGATGGTTTCTTAAATATTATAAAAAACGTGCTTATCCGTGGAAACTTCTAGCAGAGATGTACCAAAACATCAAAAGCAAGCATTCACCATTGCATCGTTCAATCACTTTTCTTACTCTAATACAACAAAAGGATATGTGATCACACGTGACTTCACAGGTGGTTTTACACAACATTCATTTAAACTTTCAATAACAGATACTGTGTCTGGTTTTTACTGTAGAGAAAGCTTACCGTGGCCAACAAATTTGTGTTAAAGACAAGAAAATGATATATTTGCGCAAGTTTAAGCTTTACGTAGAAAATGGAGAAGTAGAAGACTGTGAAGAGTTTTATTCCGAAATTTTTGAGTGGCCTACAACAGCAGTAGAGTACATGATTAGTAAAATTATTATTTTTTGTATACATTACTGTTTACGACAATTTCTCTCTATTGTTCTATTCAAAGTTTAATATGTAAAATATATTATTAAGTTGACTTTGTGAAAACGTAGTTTTATTTTAGAAAATTTTCGAAAAATAGCAGTCATTTTAAAAACCACATACATCCATCGACTTTAATGGTGTTTTATGAAAAAAGTATTATGTCAAAATCTGCAACATATAATAGAAAGCATTGCATATATTATGTACATTGGTACCAAGCCACAATAATTAGTCTCTCAAACAATACATTGCGTTAAAACAGTTTTTCTCGCTTTTCTCAAAAGCACTAATACTGGATGTATGTGGTTTTTAAAATGACCGATTCTAATGTCTTCTGTATAATGCATACGAAAATGTGTAGTATCAAAAACGACTATAAATTTATAAAGTAATGAAAGAGTTGGAGTACATATTTTGTTTTCTGTAAGTCAGATCTTTGTGGTTAAGTAGTATACCAATTAAAAATTATTTAACGAGTCAAATAAGGCAAACATTATATATTTATTTCCGATTAATCGAGATCCAATATAAAATCAAATGGATGTATCAAATTAAAAACTATTTGAGAGTTATTTTCCAGATAAACGTCTATTTTGGACGTTTCAAAGCCACTCAACACTTAAACTACCCCGATAAACTGATATAGGTAGCGGTTTTGAATTTTAGTTTTTTTGATCTATAGTATTTGATTCTTTTTAATTATATAGCACTATATAGAATCTACTACTTTTTTAAGTGATCAGTTGAATCTGGTCAGAACGATATCACTGATTTAGCAATCTGTTTGAAAAACATCCAAAATAGACACAGAACATGCTTACGTAGTTATTAATAAAAATTAAAGCCTAACATTAGTATAGAAAAATTTGAATTATTAACAGTAACTTGTTTATACATTTTTCAAAATTATTTTAA